GAGAGAGAGAGAGAGAGAGAGAGAGAGAGAGCTTAACATTATACACGATTAGAAACTGTAATGGCAAATTCACAAAGTTTTATTTATGATTATATTAGGGTAACAAATAATATACAATTGGACACTCGACCCTATTTTAAGAGAATTGTCATTATAAATTCCAACAAAAACATACTTTTTAATATAATTATGAATTCTTTCAAAGATTAATGTGAAAAACATTTTACTCCTATCAATAATTCCATTAACAATTTTACAAAATTGTGTTATTTTTCTTTATATTTTTCTATAATGATTAACAGTGTTAATTTAACACTAACCCCGGTATAAAACAAAATTATCTTTTACCAATAATATTTATAAATTGGGTCTGATTTGTATTGGTTAAAGAGAGGCTGTATTTTCTAACGTAATTACAAAATGTAGTTAAATTTTTATCTAGTTATTTGGATTTTTAAAAAATTTTAAGCATTCTATCTTACACATAACTCTTATTTTATCCTAGTTACTTTTATTAGTTTCAAATTAAACATTCATCATATTTTTTAATAAACAGCGAGAGAGAGAGAGAGAGAGAGAGAGAGAGAACAATCGTGATTAACTTACTGTATCGCCTAGAATGACACCGACCACATACGGGCCCACAAACGCCGGTACGGCTGAGAGTGTGGCCGCAATACCAAACACAGTGCCCGAGTAGTCGGGCGTAAACTCGCCGTATATTGAAAACTCACCGCCGGTCACAAAGCCGTACAGAAACAGCGCTGTGATCAGTAGCCCAACCACTGCACCGGAATGACAGCCCACACCCGTAATGATGGCCAAACACACGGCCGGACCCAACAGCGCTGTCGACTCAAATATTTTGCGTACCCGAGTCCGCGAGAGTCGGCCTCCAGTGGCGTAGCGTTTGATGACTAGCGCCGATAGGGGTCCCCCACAGGCCATTGTTACGCCGGTAGCCAACGATGTCATGGCGTTAAACAAACCGTTGTTTAGCAGTGATATGCCGAAGACCTGCCGTATTATTGTCAACAATTATGTTTGAGAGAGAGAGAGAGAGAGAGAGAGAGAGAGAGAGAATAAAACTTTATATGATTAAAGACTGTAATCAAGATTCACAAAGTTTTAAAACTATTTATATATGAGTAAAAAATAGTAACTATTGAAAATGAGCGCGCTATCAGTAATTGTAAAGTTATTATATAACTACTTATCAATATTTTAGACTTATTATTTACAAATTTAAAATACCCTAATTATCATTCAATACCCTAATTAGGATGCTAAATTGTTTCCTAATTAAGTTAGTTTACATATTTATAAACTTTTTTATTTACTAAAATTTTATTTATAAGGTTGCATGATTTTATAATCTGTCGTATGAATTAGTTTTAAATTCATTAAAACAAAGTTTTAGCATGGTTACCTTATCGAGGTATGAGGGCATTTTGGTCTGATACAGATAATAGCCCCAACTCGCGCACACTTTCCCGATAACAACGCCCCAAACGGCACGCGATGTAAATATCCGTCTCCAGGGGGCCGATGAAGATCTCTGATCATAGTTAGAATATATTTAATTCTCTACATCCATATAATTTAAATTAAAACGACCATGCTTACTTTTGGCGCACCGAACGATGTCCTATTATAATAAATATATTTAAGCTCACGGTCTGAACACTTGATAATCCCATTTGTATTACTAATAAGTGGTGTGTTTTCGACACACAATACCCAGAGTATAGCCCACGGAATGTGTGCCACAGATATCACGTAAAACACTGCGGGCCAGCCGTCCAGCCAT